AAGTTTCTGACTTCTTTGTGTTTTGCTCATGTGAAAGAGGAGAATAACTCACTTTATAGGCCTATTGGAAAGTCAAATAAATGATCATATCTAGATTTTTCTTAGGATAGTCCCTGCATGCAATGTAATACCACTAAGAGCTGAAAACTCCAGCACATTGATTAAAAAAGTATATGAAGGATTTTTATAAGATACACATTTATATAGCTCTGTGGATAATTTTACAGACATTGTTGTTGTTATTGATTGCTATAGACATTATTTCATTCACATCATTTCTCATTAAAGCATTATTCTGAAAAAGTACAATATTATTATCTCTGTTTTGCATATGAGAAAAGAGACGTATAAAAGTGACTTGTCACATAAAGTGACTTGTCACATATCATTGAGCTAGTGAGTGACTCAGCTCAGTTAATTTTATATTAAAACCTTGTTGTTGTTGTTGTTGTTGTTATGTGCCGTCGAGTCTCTTTGTGAGTCATAGCAACATTATGCATAAGAGCCCTAAATGCTGCTCTATCCTGTACCAACCTTATTGTCTCTGACACACTTAACTCCCATTACCCCAATCACTTAATCGATCCATCTCATTGAGGGTCTTCCTCTCCTGCGCTGTCCCTCCACCCTCCCAAGCTTGATGTCCCTCTCAAAGGACTGGTCCCTCCTTGTAAGGTGTTTAAAATATGTCAGATGAAGCTTCAGAATTCTTGCCTCCAAGAAGCAGCCCGCTTCCCCCTCTCCAGGACAAATCTGTTTGTTCTTCCAGAAGTCCATAGTATACTCAACACTCTTCTCCAGCACCACAGCTCAAAGGCATCAATTCTCTTTCTGTCATCCCTAGTCACTGTCCAGCTCTCTGATGCATAGCATTCAATTGTGAAGACTATAGCCCAGATAAGGAACACCTTAGTCTCCAGCCTGACATTGTTGCTCTTCAGTATTCTTGAGGGGTCCCTCACAGCTGACTTTCCCAATGCAATTTGTCTCTTGATTTCCTGGCTGCTGGTACCAAGAGTGTTGACTGTGGAGCCAAGTAAAGTAAAACTGTTAACTATCTCAATCTTTTCACCATTCATACTGATGCTGCCAATTGGCCCAGTGGTGAGAATCTTTGTTTTCTTAATGTTGAGCTTCAATCCATATTGAATGGTGCAGTCCTTGACCTTTTCCAGCAAGCACTTCAGGTCCTCCTCAGTTTCAGCAAGCAGCGTTGTGTCATCTGCGTAGCTCAGGTTGTTGATGAATCTTCCACCAATCCTAATGCCACATTCCTCCTCGTACAGCCCAGCATCCCGGATGATCTGTTCTGCATACATATTGAAAAGGTATAGAGACAGAATACATCCCTGATGGACTCCCTTTTTGATTTTGAACTATGCAGTGTCTCCTTGTTCTGTTCTGATGACTGCCTCTTTGTCCAAGTGTAGGTTTTGCATTAGCACAATCAAATGCTCTTGGATTCACGTTCTTCTCAGAGTCAGCCACAGCTTGTTGTGATCCACACAGTCAAAAGTCTTTGCACAGTTAATGAAGCACAGATAGACATTCTTCTGGTGCTCTTTGCTTTCTACCAAGATCCATCTAACATTATCTACAATAATCCTAGTACAACAACCTCTTCTAAAACCAGCCTGCACATCTGGCAGTTCTCTGTTGATGTGGTGCTCCAGTCATTTTTGGATAATCTTCAGCAGAATCTTGCTTGCATGTGATATTAATGATACGAAAGCCTATTAACTAAATAAATAAATAGGGATCTCTGATGCCCTAGTAGCAAGAAGCTGTGCTGCAATCCTGAAGGCAAGCAGTTCGAGGCCTCCAGCCACTCTTAGGGAGAAGGATTGGCAGTCTCCTCCTGTGTTATTAACTGCCTCTGAAAACCTGCTGGAGGGTCAGCTATGGGCTGGTTCTGACTTAACAGTGCAAAACAGCAACAGACATTAACTAAATACTACAATTTTAAGATGTGTGTTATTCATGGAAAAAAATATGGGTTGAGCGTTTACAGGCTTTTTCCACTTGTGAAGGTCAGTATTCTTATAGATTGATACTAGTTACTTGCTCTTGTGGTGCAGACAGGTAAGCCCTTGGCTGCTGGCAGCAGAGATTGATAGGTCACGTCCCTGGGAGAAAGACCAGTTGATCTGCCTCAAAAAAGATAGAGCCTCGGAAACCTGCTGGGTCCGTTCTCCTCTGCCATCTGCCAGCACGACATGTGGTCCAGCAACAGCATCTCAGGGTAGTGACAGAATGGTAAATTAAGGCACTGCGTAAGAAACCCATCATAACACTGGACACATACTACATACAGACTTTGATGAATGGTATCTAATAATAACAATGACAGCAATAACAGTCATTTATTTGTTTTAAATTTTTTATTTACTATTAGTAGTAGTAGTAGTATTACTTTTGTGTGTACCATCAAACCGGATCTGACTAGTACAGGAGGAGATTGCCCCTCCTTCTCCAGTAGAGCATCCGGTGGATTTGAACCACATATCTCTAGGATTGCAGTGCAGCTTCTTGCCACTTAGCCACCAGAGCTCCCTAAGATATTTATTTAAGAAAATAAAGCAATTAGCAATATATGATTTTATATTTAATTAATATCTAGGTCAGTATCAATTTCACAGCAGTGGCTTTGGGCCGTCTATTTAGAAATAATTATAAGGGTTTTCCTTTTGCATTTTCCATGCACCTGTTTCGTTAAAGCTATTCTTAACAGAATAATATATCCTCCAGTAACTTTTACTGCTGGCTGTTCCTTTACGTGTATATGGACGCCCTTATTTCCTGCAGAGCAATACTATCAGTGGGGGGCTGTGGCTCAGGCTGGTTGACACCCTATGAACTCCTGAGCCTGCTGTCCATCTTCAGTTCTTCAGTTCTAGAAGGAACAGGCCTACAGATAATACTGATGATGAACTCAACAATTTCCAACTAAACAGTCCTATTTACTACACAAATCAATTACAAAAATTATGGACATGTCAATACTGGAATTACTGGCAGTTAGATTTTATTTTTACTTTATCTCATAAGCACATTGAAAAGACTTTGATGTGGCCCGAGAACATTGAATACAGAGAAGCCATGGATGTGCTCCCAATTTTAGAAACCTGTTTTTGGAAACAGATCAGAGCATAATTTCCAAGTGTCTAATTTCCACAAGTGAAATGAGGAATCCTGTGACACGTCCTTAAATAGGTTCCCGGAAATGTGGCGATGAGTGCTTGTGTTTAAGTAGAGGTAGTGGTATTATTCATGGATAATAACTAACCAGCATCTTTTTTTTTCTAGATTTTTAAAAATTTTTATTATTATTTTTATTGAAAATTTAGATATTTTGGATTACCATTCATTCATTGTTGCACATTTCTCCCTGTCCACACCTCCCCCTCAGTTCGCTCTTCTCTTTGAAAAGTAAAAGAAAAATTATTTCATTGTTCTACAATCCCTCCCCCTAAGTCCACTCCACTGTGCAGCCTTCATTCTGGACTCCTATCATAACAATAATACTTAATCATATATCCCTTTTAAGAAGTTCTCTCCCTCATATGTTTAAATGCAGTGTACATAATTTATCCCATCTTTCCCAGTCTCCCTCCAACCCTGATATCAGTCTCGTTTTACAACAGTGGCACTATGCAGTATTTGTCCTTTTTTGCTGAGATGTATCACTCAGCATTAGCATCTTAATAACACAGAAAATAAAGTAGGTTAGCCTTTGGAATTATTTGAAGTTATTCACATAAAGTTAAACAAACAAACAAACAAACCCAAAAAACCAAAACCGTGAGCTCCCCAAAACACCAAAACTCTGCAGATGGAGACAGCCTATTTTTCTCTCATGGAGTTAATGGTAGATTCAAACTATTTCCCTTTCACTTAGCAGCCCAGTCCATAACACAGTACACCATCAGAGCTCCATTTAACCTAGGATTAAGTTAACTGTGTTTAGGCAGAAACCGTCTTCAGGTTAAATCACCTCAGGGTTATTCTGTTTTGAGAAAAGTAAATGAATGTAATGCCGTTCTTTGCTATTCTGAGTAAAAGATCCTTGATAAATGCAATTCCATTTTGAACCCTAGTATTTCTGTTTCCTCTTTGAATTCACATAACAGAAGCAGATTGCATATAGTACAATAAATTGTAAGAACACAGTGTCTTGCTTTTCAACAGCACAGTTACACTGAAAAGTATAAACCTTCTTTACAATTATTAGAGAAACTGGTGCAAAATAAGCAGAAAACTTGGGCTCCAACAGAATCACTTTACTACAGAGGATGCAGAAGGACCATGAACGCTGGAGCGGTTTCTAAAAAGACTTTGCACAGTGACTGGGGAAATACCGTGTCATCAAGGAAAGGAATATTCTAATAAGTAAATGAACTCTTACATTTAAGTAATTATACTGTATAGGGTTTTCAATGGCTAATTTCTCAGCAGTGGAATGATAGATGTTTCCTCTGTGTGTCCGAGGGTAGATTAGACCGGTTGACAGTTTGATTTGCAGTTGAGTACAGTAACCGTAACGCCACAGGAATCTTGTCTAGATGTTTGGTTTCATAGTGGTGAGGAAGACCTAGGACTGATGTTTTAGAATCCATTCTAACTCAGAGACGTTCTCTGGGACCAGTAGAACTGCCTCAGATGGTCTCCTCAACTGCAGGTCTTTATAGGACCAGTTCACCAGGCCTTTTCTTCCACAGAACAGCTGGTGGATTTGAACTGCTGATTTGTTCATTAGAAGCCAGATGTGTATCCTTTGTGCTACATGAAAGAATCTACCCATAATCATGTGGGCAAGGTTTTCAGAGACACATACCTATCTTAACCTCCAACTTATCATACAGTCTTTCCTCATTAGGAATCACTGCCATTATGAATCACATGGCTTGATTCCATGAACTGATACAGATTGGTTATTTTCACTGATTTGGGCCTTATGTAATGCACCCATGGTAATATTAACCATGTTATTTCTTTTGCAGGGTTGTGGGAAGAAAATGTATTCCTTTTTGAGAGGAACCAAACAGCTGCAGGTGCTGAGGTTTCTGGGAATCTCCATTGGAGTGACACAAATCCTGGCGATGATTCTCACTATTACGCTGCTCTGGGCACTGTACTATGACCGAAGGGAGCCTGGGCCAGACCAAATGATGTCCTTGAAGAATGACACCTCTCAGCACTTGTCCTGTCACTCAGTAGAGCTGTTAAAACCCAGCCTGTCGAGGTTCTTTGAACATACATCGATGGCCAACAGCTTTAATACACACTTTGAAATGGAAGAATTATAGAGAACATCAAAGAAAGGAATCGTAAAATTGTTCAGTTGGACTTGTGAGTTTTTAAGCACACACTTCTCTGCTTCAGAAATGTGTAGAAATATAAATGTTGCAAATGTTGCCATTTATATTTAAGAATGCTTCGGCATGTAGTTGTCTACCCTTTAAAATGAAGAGGAAGAAGTTTTGTATTATAAGTCATCACCTGGTTGTACAGTGAAAACCCTTTATAATCTAAGGGTAGCATTGAGGGCTCCCCTTCATAGGGTCGCTATGAGTCCCCTGCGACTCGATGGCACTTAACAACAACAACAACAACACAATCTAAGAGCTAATACTCACTTTATCGCTCATGTAAGATTTTTATAGAATACAGTTATGCTTTGAGATCACCTCGGCTGGTGGTTTTTCTCTCTGATGGTATTTCTGTATTTAAGAAAGCAGAAAGTGCTGTGGAGTGATTAGAGCTACAATGATGTTTGGTTGACTTCCATGGTTTGTTGATGTGTAAGTACCAATTAACTGCTGACGAAACTAGTTGGACAGTACTAATGACCTTTATTATTTAGTGATATGTTCTTTTGAAGGTAAATATTTTATGCTTAAGAAAAAAGAAGAGTTGGCAACTACTTAAATGTGATATTTGTTGGTTGTTGGTTACTAAAATACTACTACCACTTGAAAGAGACACTAACACATTGTCTTAAACTGATCAGGGATCTATGTGTATATTAGAGTCTGTGTGATGTCTGTACAATTCAGTAGATTTCATTAGTTAATGTTAAGAATAGCATATAAATTTGGCCTATAAACACCATTTTTAGCCTTTTCTGTTAAAAGAGCTTTGAAATTTTGTCTTGGGTTTATATATTACATACATAACTGTTTGTTACTTTAAATACTTAACCACTAATTTTGAAAGATTTATTGGTGTGATAAATAGGAAAAATTATATGTGTGATAAATACCAGTGTGATAAATCATTATTACTCAGTGTGTAGTCTGGTCTCTAGGAAGTATTAATAAGAAAGTTTATACATAAATTAATTCATTCAACAAAGATTTCAATATGATACGTTTCCAAAACGGAAACCCTTGTTGACACTAAACGCTTTTTAGAGAAACGTATCTTTGCTTCCCCAGATAGGAAATAAGAGTCTCTGTGTCTGAATTTACACCTACAGAGAATAGTGTTTCTTTTCTTCAGCAACATGTTATGAGAATCACTAAAATAAGCAATAATCTAGTTGAACTAGAGATTCTTTTTTGCTTTATTTCACTGACTAAAATACTGTGGCAAACTGCACAGATTATTAGATTTTTTTACAAGAGTAAAATATATTTATTTGAAATGGGAAAAGTGCATTTTACTGTATTTTGGGTAATATGTGTGTCAGAATATTGAAAGAAAATACAAGTTTCAATAAATATTTTCTGGAGAGTAATAATTTGTCTGTGACATTTTTTTTATATACTAAAAAGGACTTTCAGAGAATTCTGGTGGCCTAGTGGCAAGAAATTTCACTGCCAACCCAAAGGCACATGGTTCGAATCCACCAGCTGCTTGATGGGAAAAAGGTGGGTATTCCCCTCCAGTGCAATTTACTGCCTCTGAAAGCCTGCTTCAGAGTCAGTTGTCAGTTCCAACTCCAGGGTACATAGCAGCAGAAACAACAACGTAAAGACTTTCACCGTTTGAGCAGACTATCATGGAGAGAAAGTTGAGAGGAAAAAAAAGGATTGAGTAAGGTGTTAATAATGATTTCCAAACTTCTGGCTGACTATGGAGTGTGTGACTTCACTTGAAAAAGTTATAAAGATGCTCATTTTCTTTTCAAATTTGGCTTTTTGCTCTAAATGAGTGCTAATGTAGTGATGCATTAGTATTAAGAAACATGCTTATCTATTTTATTTGTTCTCCTAAATTCTTGTGTGCCATCGAGTCACCTGCAACTCATGTTGATCCCGTGTACAACAGCTCTGAAGCCCGCCCTCTCCTTAGCCAGTCTTACTGACTCTTGACACACTTATCCCCATTTCCCCAATTAATGTAGTAATTCATCTCATCCAGGGTCTTCCTCTACAATGCTGTCCCTCCACCATTCCAAATATAAGGCACTTCTCCAAGGATCGGTCCCTCCTGGACACGTGCCCAGAGTATGTGAGACAGATTTAAAATTCTATCCTCCAAGGAGAAACTTGGTTTCACTCTCTCCAAGACAGAGCTATTTGTGTTCTTGGTGGCCCATAGTAAGTTCAAGACACTTCTACAGCACCACAATCACCTCCTTGTGATAATTATGACTTTTAGCTGGATTATTTAACTAATGGCCAAACTTCTTTATTGAGGTGTCTTATAGATGCAAGAACAAATTCACAGTGTGTTGAGCTTAAGAAATATCCTCAGCTTATAAAATGCAAGTTGATTTTTGCATTTTCAGGCTTCAGGTATTTTGATATATTACCTGATTTACTACCTTCTAGAATAGTCAACATAAATTTAGACAATTACCCTATACATGATATACTTGGCTTTAATGGGAACAAATGACGTTTATAGCAATGGTCCACAAAGACTGCTTATGGTAGCCATGCACCTGGAATAATAAAACCATGAGGGACTCTAAAAACTGTACTTAATGCGGGAGAGCTGAGGGAGTTCACTGTTTGGGTACATTGCAAATAAAATTGTTAATGGTTTCTGTGGGAATTTTATAAAGTTCTCTTTTGTAGAGTCACCATTTTTAAACTGAAAATTCTAGATTATTTGTAGGCTGGTAACAATCAATCCAATGTTGTATGGAGATTTATAATCACAGTAAGATAAGGTCTCTGATCTCAAGCACTGAGGAAAGGGTTAAGAGTCAGGGACAAATTGCCCAAAAAATAGTAAGCCTGGCTTTCTTGTGTTTACTGGGCAATCTGCAGTGAACAGTTTCACATGATGGAGTGAAAAACGTGAACTTGCCCACTACCTATAGTTATGGTTGCTAGGCGTTGCACTACCGATAGTTATTGCTGCTGGGTGTTGTCAAGTTAACTACTATTCAGCAACTCTGAACAACAGATCTGAACCTTGGCCTATCCTTGCTATCCTTACCTGTCCATAAACCATCCTTACCATCTCTGCCACACTCAAGTTCATTGTTACTGTCATTGTGCCAGTCCACTTCCTTGAGGGTCATATTCTCTTTCCCTGACCTTCTCCCTTCCCAAGAATGATGACTTTTCCCAAGATCTGGCCCACCTTATAATGTGCCCAAAATAAATGAGATGAAGCATCACCAACCTTGCCTCTAAGGAGTACCCTGGATGTACTTCCTCTAAGACAATGTTTGTTCTTTTGGCAGTCCAAGGGATATTCGGTACAACTCGAAGGCATTGATAGTTCTCTGGTCATCCTTATTTATTGTCCAACTTTCAGATGCATATGAAGCAATTGCAAATACTATGGCTTGAGATCAGGCATATTTTCGTTTTAAAATTATGTCCTTATTTTTTAGCATTTCCACCGATTAAGTTAGCAAGAAACACCAAAGCCCATAGTGACTTTGCTTATTGGTTAGCCCAACACTAATGAGAAGCACACAGACCAACTATAGATGAAATAAATACAAGCAAATGCCATTAGTGGGGCTGAGTAAGAGTCAGAAGAGTGGAATCAAGACTCCTATGCTGAGGAGCTGACCTTCAAGAAGGATCAGGAGACCATTCCATGAGCCACCACTCTGAGGTTAAAAAGTGTAAATTACTTTGGGGGCACAACTTATCATTTATGTTGGCTAGAGACTGCCAAGAAAACAAACAGATTCATCCTAGAGAGGGTTAAACCAGGCTGCTCCTTGGAGGCAAGGATTCTGGGGCTTCGTCTGACATACTTTGGACA